ACAGGCTAAAAAAACTGGTTTGTCTAACAAGGTCAAATTTGAATGTTTTTGTTGCGTGGTCTGGAGTCAACTCAAATCCTATTGATCGACCCTCTAAATACCAGTGACACATAAACATAGATTAAGTGCAATTTAAGAATAAAAGTAATTTAAAAATAATTTTAAAATGTTTTAAGAATAGATTAAAAGACTGACAACGCCACCTAGGGGTTTACAGAGCCCTAGGACTAGCCTACAGGTTCTTTGCAATCAGGGGTGAGCAGAGTTAAAAACAAGACCAAGGGTAAATGTTAACAGATTTATTACAATAAATCACTCTAGAAAAAATAACAGATGATGCCTAAAAATCCATTAAGTCCTTACAGCACCCCTCAGCCAGTCATTCATCATTTCCCCTTTCGGTGGAGTCACTAGCCCAAGTGGGACGCCAGCGGCTGCAGCGTTCTCAGCAACCAAAACACTTCAAATCTCAACATAAAAAATAACTATTAAATAATAATAAGCAAAAGCAAACTTCCTGTTGGGATTAGGGTATGGCTCCAACATATTTTTTTTTTTTTTTTGTAAGTGTGGTCATGATATGATGTATGCATACCAAATTCCATTCATCTATGTGTAATTAAAAGGTGGGGGCTTTAATTTTGAAAACTATTAACTCGATAACTGGGGCTATCGCTATGGTTATTTTTTGCAAGCAGCGATGAACGGGCCCTCGCACCTTCACGCAACTCGGGGGGGCTGGCAGGACGTCTTCTGACGTGTCAGTTCATTTCTGTCAAAGTTAGACATCGCATGCAGGAGTGACTTTCCATATCTTTGATACAGTGCTGGAATGACATATTTCACATTTTGTATCACTTCCTCTTTCCACTAGAGAGAGTTGGAGAGCACAGTAATTATACATCATGTTTTTGTACATCAAATATACACCACAGCATTTAACTTTCAGATAAATCGAAAGATAAGTGTTTGAGACCTACTTCCTGTCACCACTAGGTAGCACTATGAGTATCAGGAAATATGGTCATATAAATGTTTTCAGGACAGGACCAATATGAATCATGTGAAGTTTGATGGAGATCAGAACATTTACAACAAAAATATAGCAATTTCCTGTTTCATGGCGAGACATCAAAAGTAAACCCTCTGCAGCGCGCATAGACACGAATGATATGTCATGTTTGTGTACATCAAATACACACCACAGCACTGAAATTTCAGGTGAATCCAAAGATAAGTGTCTGGTAAGAAGTACTTCCTTTCACCACTAGGTGGCCCTATGACCATCACGGAATATTGTCATATAAATGTGTTCAGGGTGGGACAAATATGAATCATGTCAAGTTTGGTGGACAATGGACCATTTACTCCAAATATATAGCAATTTCCTGTTTCATGGTGAGACATCAAAAATAAACCCTCTGCAGCGCGCGTAGACACTAATGATATGTCACGTTTGTGTACATCAAATATAGACTACAGCATTGAAATTTCAGGTTAATCCAAAGATAAGTGTCTGATAAGAAGTACTTCCTTTCTACACTAGGTGGCGCTATGATTATCAGGTAATATGGTTATGAAAATGTGTTTAGGGCGGGACTAATATGAATCATGTGAAGTTTGGTGGAGATTGGACCATTTATGCCAGAGCTACAGCAATTTCGTTTTTTAATGGCGAGACCTCAATATTCAACGCTCGGCAGCAGGCGTGCCATTCAACATTGGGCAAATCCTGTGATAACTTGTGGTCACAACATAGTCACGCTTACATACACCAAGTTTGGAGCCAATCTGATTAAATCTGTAGGACAAGTTTGTTAATTTACAAGCCCTGGATATGGGCAAAAACGCACAAAAGTGGCACAAGTAAATTCAAAATGGCGGACTTCCTGTTGGGTTTGGAGCATGGCTCCAGGAGGCTTTTTTGTACGTAATAGAGTGTTACAGGTGCCCACCAAGTTTCATACATGCAGGTCAAACCAGCTTTGGGGGCTGCTTAATTGAAATATTCTAGGGGGCGCTGTTGAGCCATCTTGGTGCATCAAAGCACAAAAATCACATCAGACAACAGTATTTGTGACCTGTGATGTGTATGCCACGTTTGGTGAGTTTTCAAGCATCCCTTGTCCCTTCAAAACAACATCGTGTTTGATGGCTAACAAGGCGGCGCCACTGTGACAGCGTTTGATGAAAACTAAAAAGCTTCATTTTTAAGCATCATCAAGGTCTTAGGACTTAGACCAGCAAGTTTGAGGTGGGTCTGATTAACCTGCTAGAAGCGGGACATCAAAGAATGTATAAAGTAGCTTTCTGTTGCCAGAAGGTGGCGCTATGGCGGTGATACAAAATTCCTCTGTAGATGTGTTCAGGGCTGGACTGTCATCATATGTGTGAGGTTTTGGCAAGATATTCCCACGTGGAGTCAAGTTACAGCAACGTTTATCATCACGGCGAAACATCAAAGTTTGCCGCCAGGCCGTGGCCACGCCCTTTGACGAAAACTCACAGTTTCCACAATAAAACATCATCAACGTCTTATGACTTTTTTCACCAAGTTTGAAGTGGATCTAGTCAAGTCTGTAGGAGATGTACATTAAAGTCTAAAACATGACATTTCCCATTGCCAGTAGGGGGCGCTATGTTTATCTCTAATTATTGACATGTAGATATGTTCAGGGCGGGACTGTCATCAATCCTGTGAAGTTTGGCCAAAATTGGACAATGTATGCTGGAGTTATAAACTACTTCCTGTTTAGTGGTGAGACCCGTAACTTTGGCGCCATCCCACGGTCACACGCATTGACGAAAACTCAAGCTTTTGATAACTTTTCATCTTCAAGGTCTTGGGATGGGACAGACCAAGGTTTGAAGTCAATCGGATGGAATCTCTAGGACTAGTTAGTTCATTTATGACCCCTGAAAATGGCCAAAAATGCACCAAAATTGCACAGTAAATTCAAAATGGCTGACTTCCTGTTGGGTTTAGAGCATGCCTCCAATAGGCTTTTTTGTACGTCTCTGGGCGTTACATAAGCCTGACGAGTTTCATACATGTAGGTTAAACTAGCTTCAGGGGCTGTTTCCTCAAACTTTTGTAGGGGGCGCTACTGAGCCATTTTTTGGAACCCGAACATGAGACCCTTAAAATATCAAATTTTTCACCAGTTCTGAGATGTGTGCAAAGTTTCATGAGTTTTCAGGTATGCTAAGCCTCCCAAAAAGGCAATTCATTTGGAGGAAGAATAATAATAATAATGATAAAAAATCCTTGCATTTCAACAGGGTCCTCTCACCGCTAGGTGCTCGGGCCCTAATAATAATAATAATGATAATAAAAAATCCTTGCATTTCAATAGGGTCCTCGCACCGCTAGGTGCTCGGGCCCTAATAATAAAAAATCCTTGCACTTCAGTAGGGTCCTCGCACCGCTAGGTGCTCGGGCCCTAATAATAATAATAATAAAAAATCCTTGCATTTCAATAGGGTCGGTGCGAGGGCCCTAATAATAAACAAAAATACTAATTAAAGCTGTAAGCAGCAATGAACACATCCTTTCACCTTTGCAGATGTCAGGGATATTAGCAGGATACCGGTTGGTTGTGCATTCCTGTGAAATTAAGACATTGCATGCAGGAGTGAGATGATGAGGTGGTGTGGAGTGCAGCCACTGGAAATGACCTTAACAGCGTCCTCTCGCCCCTCAGTGCTCAGGCCCTAATAATAATTCCTTGGGTTGCAATGGGGTCCTCACACTGTTCAGTGCTCGGGCCCCAATAAACTGGCACATACTCAATACAGTTCTGACACAAAGGGGCTTGAACTTTAATAAACCCGCACAAAAACAAAAGGGTTTCAGCACTAAATTTAACAAAAAAAAAACCAATAACAGCGACTGGCCGCAAATTATGCCAACATGAAAGGACAGCATTTTTTGTCGGTGTCTGGCACCAGAAGTCACTGATTTTGAAGTGAGACTGGGTTGGTTTTTGTTGCTATGTAATTACCTGAAACTCAGAATTGTCATTTATATCTACATTCAGAGCAGGTTCAGGGAGTCTGCCATTTTATTTTACAGTAGCCCAGAACAGACAATCCAAACACTCTAGTTAGGCCCATGAGCATTTTTGCGTTTTTGCATTGGCCACTGTAGTTCTCACACACTTGGCACACAGAAGTTTCAGTTGCTTTCAATCTGCAACCTCACCACTAGATGTCACTGAATCCTACATCGTGGACTTAAAAGGTAGAGGAGTAGAAGTATAAAGACACACAATGAAATTCACATGTTAAGTGCTAGTACCTCAGACACTTCGTAGACTAAAACTACTTTGGAGCAAATAGCATGAAAACAATGCTTGATTACTTTCATGCTAGTTTTTAGACACCAAGCATTTTACAATATTTTTGCCTTTGCTGATACGTTAACAAACTGCAGCTAATCATTCTTTCATTTTTAATCACATTTTCAGCATCTTTTGATGTATATTAAACATTCCATCTACTAAGTTTGTCACGACTCAATTCATAACTAACTAGAGATTTCTACTATCTACTGTTGTGTGGGTGCTACAATGTTGCAGGCGCTGGGGGTCATCATAGTTTTTAGACATTTAGACCTCTAGCTTTAGTGGTGGTGTTATTAGCTGGTGGAAGCAAGAGTGACAGTATGTCGTTAGAATGACTGTGCACTACTGAAGAGCAGCTAAAGTGTTAAGCCAGAGCCTCTTACCTTCAAAATACCTCATAATTTATTTCTCCTCATTTAAACTCTGAAACTCTCTGTACTTCTATCAGAACTCATTGTGACCTCTCCAGCTGCTGTAAATGTCACATCTAGGTTTTTAAGAGGTTTTCAAGGAGTGTATTACATCAAGCCAAACTTTATATTCCACCAGCCAGGTATACAAACACATTTATCATGAAGAACATAATCACATAATGCAACATCTAAACAGATAACAAGAGCAAACAGTGTGACTGCATGTGCTTCTCTTTACCAGGCAGAAAGTGTTTGAAGATGTCCAACGTTTCTTGAATACTGATGGCATCATCAACAAGGTCGTGTTTGACCTGGAAGACAGCAGGTACGTAAACAACATAAATATATACAAACTCACAAGAGGAGATTTAGATTTAGATTATGAAGATTCCGCTTCCTTTATTTGTCTTCATTTGCTCAAATGGAACAATTTGAGCAAATAATACCCCTAAAATCCAATTAGTCATCTTTGTCTCTTTGTCTGTTAGTCTTCAGTATCCGCCTGATACCTTGAGGTTTTTCTCTAAGTTTGAATGTGGGAACCTAAGAAAGGCTGTCCAGGTCCGCAGGTATGGATACACACACACACACACACACACACACACTGTTCGCACAAGTTCTAAGAAGTCAGTGAAAAGCAAATGTGATGTCATATTGTTACTCTATACAATCCTAACTCAAAAAGCCAAATATAATCAAGATAAAACCACAGAAGCAGTCTTTTTCTTCTTCTCTTCTCTTCTATAGATATGAATATGACCTCATACTGAATGCAGATGCCAACAGTAACCAGCACACCCAGTGGTTTTATTTTGAAGTCAGTAATATGGTGCCAGACTTCCCCTACCGTTTTAATGTCATCAACTGCGAGAAGAGCAACAGCCAGTTCAACTATGGTAAGAAGGTGCTTGTGTGTATGTGTGTGCATGTAGCTGTAAATAAATTTAACGTGCTGTGAATTTTGAAATATCTTATTCAAAGTGACATTTGTTTATTAATTCATTGGTGCAAATACTACATTATACAGGATTCAGTAAATTTATCAGGTGCTAATATTTCCATAACTAGTTAATTGATATTTAAATGTTACTAGCTTCTGCTAGGCTAATCTTGCATTGAAAATAAAAATATATAGTGGTGAAAGTTAAAGAGAAAGTGAAACTAACTAGCCAGCATCATAATGGATGGCCACTGGATAGACAGATGGCACAGGCGCTTCTGGTCAGCTGATGTCTGGGGATGAATGAACTACAAGCACTCCACTGGTAACATTCTCTAGTTACTTGAATTACACTTTGCATGGATAATCAAAAGTTGAGTAAAGTTTTTGTAGAAAAGACAAGATCAGATGAGCAAGTTGGTAATGTTCAATATCTAACCACACCATAGTCAAATTATTCTTAGAAAATTTCTTCACAACTCTTACTATAACACCTTGGAAAAAAATTACTACAGTTCAGACCTCATGGACCTCAATGGTGGCCCTGTGGCAAGCTCTCAGTCAGAGCCACCTGTTCAGCAGCATGGCATGAACTTTCCTGGGGAAACTAAGCAGTAGTACCCTGATAACCTGACCACATGTTCCAGTTACTTTTAAAAAAAAAAGAAAAAAAAAGTGGGGACCGCCACCGTTGCCTGCCACTCCTTGGGTACTGTCCCTGATCTAAAGTCGACATTAAAAAAATGTGCCAAACAACATAACCTTACAATATCCAGAGCCATCAGCATCTTAGGTTGATCTCGGTGAGGTGCTATGCCACTGTGGGGCCTCTTTATTGCCACGGGCATGCCATTTGGGAGCAGATCCTCAAAGTGCTCCTTTCTCAGTCTGATTATTTTCCCTGTTGTTGAGGTCAGCAGTCCTCCCTGCTGAAAACAGCTTGGAAATAGCCTGTGTTTTATTTAATGTACCAACTAGCCAAGACTCAGTCTGCCATGTCCCATGTATTTTCCTGCAACTTGACTGCTAGTGCATATGTGTACATGTAAGTGTTTTCATGTGTCCATGAATGTTTTGTGTGTACCACCTTTGTCAACTATGTATCTACTAGAAAAGCAATCACTGTAGTCATCTTCATTTCTATTATGCGTACGAGGACTCTGTCTATGTATGCACACACATACCCAATGTAATGTGTGTAGAAACATGTAGTATATCCAGATATCCATTCTTTGTTTTATCAGCATTCAGGATGAACTTCAAGTTGACCAGAAATTGCTGAACAGCATTGAAAGATAGCTGATGCTGGAAAAGGGTTATTCTGAGTAAAAGCAGAGCAAATAATGGTGTCATCAGCATACAGATGAACACCTGCATCATATACATTTAGGCACTGGCTATTTAAGTAAATTCAAAACAACAGAGGCCCTAATACTGAACGTTGAGGCACCACATTTGCAATTGTATGAGGAGCATGCCCTCCTCTTGTACATATTGCACTCTGCCCATTAAATCATTTACAAATCAAGCAATGGCTCTGTTTGATAAAACAATTTGATGTAGTCAAAATTTTGTGATCTACTGTATCAGAGGCCTTAGACAGGTCAATAAATAAATCAGCACACTGCAGTCCACTATCCAACAAATGAACCAAATCACTGACAACTTTTAAAGCAATAGTAGTAGGGCTTTGCTTTTTTCTGAACCCAGATTGATAAACAGGTGAACTGTCATTTACATGTAAAAAATATTTTATCTGTTCAGACAATAAAGATTCCAATATTTTGGTCAGGGCTAAGAGTTTAGAGATGGACCAATAACTGTTGAGCTGGGTTTGGTCACCAGTTTTTAATAAAGGCAAAACAAAAGCAGATTTCCAAATGATGAATGAGACACATACAGATTTAAAAAAGATATGTTAAATGAGCTGCAAAATAAATAAAATAAAATCAGCTGTTAGAATTTAAAAGTACTGTTCAAGAATATCAGGACTTGCTGACTTAACAGACCTCAGTGCAGGTAAACTGTAAAATTTCAAGGTTGCTCAATAATCAGAAGTAGTTTAGAATAAATGGCACTGTAGTTCATTGTAGAGTTGATGAGGCAAGCAGCCAGCTGGAGGCTGGAGCCTATCCCAGCTGACAGGCCCTGGACCCTGACAATTGAGGGGCCCTGGACCCTGGACAGGTCGCCAGACTACCACAGGGCTGACACATAAGCCCTGTTGCTACTGAGCAGTACGATACAGTTCAGTTCAGTTTGATACGCCTTTTTTTTTTTTCATTTCCACTGTGAAAAGTTGTGAATGGTACAAATGGAACCGTTCTGTATCATCCCCATTTTTGGTTCCCCCTTCTTTTGGGGTACCTGGCACACAGATCTTGTACTAAACAGTGAAGCTGTGAACACTGCAGCTCTGTTGACTGGACAATAGAGGTAGGTCACTCTGCCCAGGGCTGAGATGTTGTAGCATAAACAACAAGTAAAATAAGGGAGGCTTAGACATAGAGTTAGGGTTTACTGGTGAGAAAGTGTGTCAGCTGATACTGCTTATTCATCAGACACTATAAATTGTCAGCACTGAAAAATGTTTCCTGTCCCTTCAGACAACCAGCTCTGAGAACAATCGCTTCTTTTCACATAACCAAATTTGATCTGGATCAACACCAAATCATTTAGCTGAAGCCATGTCAGGATAACAAAAACAGTTTATGCAAGGTCATCATCTACACTATATATTTCCCCCTCTGGGGGTCATCTGCCCCCCATCAGTCAATTAAGCATTAAAACAGTTAAACCATCAGCCAATGCAAGTAAAGGCAAAAACCCAACAAACTTTCACCCTCTTCAATTAGCACTTGTTTAAATTTGTTTAACATATCAATCAGTTCAATCAAACAAAGAAGAAGGGCTGTGCGCACATCCAAAAACCGATTTAGGTACGAGGTGCAGGACAAACAGGTGAAATCAAGATAGAAGGAAAGTGTCCGCACATTGAGTTTATGCTTCCGCTTTTATTTAGCTCAAAGCTGCAAGCTTTCAACCCTATCGGGTCTTCATCAGGCAAATGAGTGACAGCAGTTCAAAGGGAAAATATATAGGCTGGCGCGTCTGTGACATCACCAGGTAGAAAATCAGTGTTTGCCATCATAGCCGGGCGGGTGATATAATAGAAGCAATTAACAATAATAAGAAGAAAACAACAATATTAAATAGCAATAGATAAGCAATGAATATTACAATATCAGTATATATAAAAAGACAACAGTGAATATAAGAAGTCAAAAGACATCATATCTATTCCAAACGACTGGTCAATAATTCTGTCATTGGAATAGCAGGAATAGTGCACATGATAAACATCAAAGATAAGTTAAAACACTGGCATATAAGGCTACACAGAGGGCACTAATTAGGCTAATACTTATAGAAAAGGTTTTATATCAAATTCCTCATTTAAACCATTAGGAGACATGGCGTTGAGGAAATAGATCCAGAAAGTTTCGTGCTGGAGGAGTTTTCTTCCTAGATCACCTCCCCTTGGATGCTTCTCTATTTTCTCCACCCCAATATATCTGAGAGCGCTGACACTGTGGTTAGCCTGTTTAAAGTGTGCGGCCACTGGATTACGTTCATCACTCTTTCTGATGTTGCTTCTATGTTCGCTGATCCTGGTACGTAACGCTCTGGATGTTTTACCCACATAAGCCAAACCACATGGGCAACAATATACCAGTGTTTTTGGATAACGTTTCCAAATAGTGACCCAAGTGGAGAGTATTTTGTACAGCACAAGGGACTCACTATATTAGTGGTTTTATTTTTAGCCTTGGGCTGAAGACTTTCAGCCTGCCTCATACGATCAAACCTGCCCCTGGCTGCACTCACCCATTCCTTTTTATGCCCCTGGTTTAAAAATCTGTTAGACAGGTCATTGGCTTGTGTAAGATAGGAGGAGTCCTGGCTGCAGATCCTGCGGACCCTATGCAACTGACTGACTGGTAAACTTTTTTTAAGAGCTTGTGGGTGGTAGCTGTCACCCCTAAGCATAGTGTTGCGGTCCGTGGGCTTGCGGAACAAGTCAGTGTGGATTTGGTTATTATCCTTATAAATCAATATGTCCAAAAAGCTGATACATTCCAAACTGTATTGCAAAGTGAATTTCAAATGGTCATTACAGGAATTTAAATAATGATGGAATTTGGTCAGATGATTTGCAGTGCCGTCAAAAATCACAAAATGCAAAATATATGTTCAAAATAACCCATACATAAACATGCATAATTAGGTGCCATTTTACTGCCCATGGCTGTGCCCTTCTGTTGTACAGAGAAATCATTTTGAAAGCGAAAATAATTGTTAGTCAAGATAATGTTAGCCAGATCCAATATACATTCAGTGCTGGGGCTGGACTCTGTAGGGCGCTGGTTTAAAAAATGCTGACATGCCTCAAGCCCGCCAGTGTGTGGTATATTAGTGTGTAAACTTTGGACATGAAAAGTAGCAAATAATGCTGTGTCTGTAACATGGTTAAAACATTTGAGTAACTTTATGAAATCAATAGAGTCTCTGATATAAGAGGGAAGGGTGGTGAGCTCAGACTTGATGTGATAGTCAACATAGGCAGAGATATTTTCTGTGAGACTGCCTATACCACTCACAATAGAACTCTCAATAAGGGGAACTGTTAACCCCTTGTGTACTGTGGGAGAGTATAAAAAACAGGGTCACAGGGTCCTCTATTTTCAGAAAATCAAAAACAGTTTTATCAAATTCAAAATTGTTTAAGTGTACCATCAATTTAGAATGAACATGTGTCTTAAACCTCTGGGTAGGATCTGAAGGCAGTTTCTCGTGGAACATATTATCACACAATTGTCTTCTAATTTCAGATTCATAATCACATGCATTTTGCAAAACAATAGCTCCCCCCTTGTTGGCAGGATGTACAACAAC